ACATTGTTGGCATGGACCAGGAGCATCTCTTATTTATTTCTGCCTCGTATTTATATCCCTCCTTTTTTCCTGCAAGGAACCCAAAGCTGCTTGTGCAGTCTTCCGCCTTTATCTTCATGACAACCCTGTGAGGTAGGTTAGGCTGAAGGTCGGGGCCTGGCCGAAACCCACCCAGGGAGCTGCAAGACTGAGTGGAAGAGGCACTCGGATCCCAGGTCCCAGTCGGACCCTCCAGCCCTTATGCCACACGGACTCTGAGTCCCCGCCTTCTGGATCCCTTTGGGGGATGAGGAACGTGACCCTGTCCCTCAGCCTTAGATGACCGAGAAACCCAGCAACCCAGTCGTGCATTTGCACCAGGATCCTGTCGAGAGGGAAATGCTGCAGAATGTTTCTACATCACAGCTCTGGCACAGCTGTAGGTTAATAGACACGCAGGAGGAAGACCCCATGTAGAGGAGGTGCAATGGTGTGTTTCAGACCTGAGGGGCCTGCAGGATGAAAAAGGAGCCGGGCTATCAGGAAGTCAATGGCACAAGGCAATACAACATGTTAGCAAAGGATAGAAAAACAGCCCGGGGCGAAGAGAAGAGAGACAGCCTCAGGACAGACTTGATTTGCCTGTCTCTTTGCCAGTCTGCCTGGGGTAGGCAAGATTGCAAGCTAGAGAAGAGAGATGGACTGGGAGACGAGAGGGGAAAAAGAGGACACCGGGGCTGAATTTTCAACCCATCATTAATAATCTCTTGAAGATTGTCAAGGAATGCAGTTTTCTCCTTGGAACAACTTCTCCAACTTTTGTGTTTGTTTAAATTCTGCGATATAAAAAAAGGATTGGAATGCAAGGTTCTTCTTCATCATCATCACCACCATCGTTAGACTAAATATCAAGAAAAGCTTCCTCACTGTCAGAGCAATACAACAGTGGAACCAGCTGCCTAGAGTGTGGGTGGGCTCTCCCACACTAGAGACATTCAAAAAGAAACTGGGCAGCCATCTGAGTGGGATGGTGTAATTTGGCGTCCTGAAACAGCAGGGGGTTGGACCTGATGAGGGGGTTGGACCTAGTAGAGTTGGCCCCTTCCAACTCTACTATTCTAAGATCCTATGATCTATAGCCCCCCCCCCCACCCCTTCATCCCCAGTCAGCATAACAGATAAACTCAAGGGGAGAGAAATATTGGAATGGGAATGAATTTTGTCCCACTGGCTGCCACTAGGAGGATTGTCTGCAGCAATTTTGGATCAGTGGAGAGTCTCTGGGGAGCACCAGAAGGCTCCACAGACGGCTGGAGAACTCACCTGTCTGGGGTTCAACCCCCTCGATTTACTTTCCTATTGCACAATGACATATTTGAAAAAAATGCTTTGGAAACTTTACTCTAGGATTCACTTGCTTCTCTTGCTGACCTCTGAACTGTGAGGCTGGCTTGCAAAACTGTTGACAGAAACTGGCCCAGTAATCCAGGTTTAGTGAAGAGTAGCTTAATTAAACTAGTAAAGGAGTGTTGCTTATTACAGTGCTCCCTCCTTCACTCAGGCTTTGCATGTCTCATTTTAATGAGTTTGCAGAAGAGTTGCTCTGCAAAGTACCTTACTTTGCACTTTGCAAGAACAGCACTTGAAAAACTTGCTCTAGGTGCCAATGGCATTATTAAGAAATAGACAAAGAAAGGGAAAGAGGGAAGGGAAAAACAAACTGGAGAGCAAGGGCTACCTTTTGTTCTGTTTTGTTTTTCAATGAGAAGAAGGTGATCAGACTTCGTTAGAGGTCCTCACAAAATGGATGCAAATTATGGCCAAAATTTTCTGGATACCCACATCCTTCTATATAGCACACACCCATGCAGGTGTATATATGTTCACACGCACACCCCTTGAGCAAGAGTGTTGCATTGATCTTCCATCTTTTGGTATAAGCCCTGAATCTCTGAGAGTTCACCTGCCCCACCACTCCGCTTCACAGGTGCTTGCAGAAATAATGGTCCAGGGACCTCGATTACTGCTCCGGCTCCCCCCTCTGGATTAGCTGACTCTTCGCCCACTTTTGCTTCATTTCCTGATGCCTGTCTCCCCTGACTCTTTCTGCCTAAGGTTTCCCCCCAAAATCTGCCTTCCGCTCCCTTGTCCAAGCATTCCTTTCTACCAGTAGGGGTGTCCCTATTAGGAAACGGGGTCCTTAAAAGACACTCTCACACACAGACTTTACAGCCAGTGTAAATTAACATATGCAAATGTGCACTTTTTGTGCTGTGGGTTTGAGCTTTGGCTTTTTCAGTACCTAGCACTGCCCCAGGTTATACCATCTGCATCTGCGTTTTCCCATAATATCATCAAAGATGTAGGAACTCTACCTACCTTTACACCTGGAAGCCTTACATAGTGGAAACATTTAAATGCGCTATTGGAACAATGTGCGCTATATTATTAGTACTCTAATTGTTCTAGTAATATTTTTGAACTATTCCATAAAAAGAAAGAATTGTTCTCAGCTGACAAGGTAGAGGTTTCAATTAACTTATCCATGAATGTTTTAAAGGTCAAATGAATCTAAAGTATTGTTTTGTAAGAGGCATGTGGGAACATAACACAGCTGGATTAAAAACACACACACAATGCAAAGAAAATAGTTTTCCAAATCAAAGAATGAAACCCTACATTTTAAAATCCCGGAACAAGCTTTTGAGGTAAGGTTGAACTGAGAGAAGGGGAATCTCAGTTCATCCTCGGGCAAGGGCCATTTCAATACAGAGCACAAATCATATCCTAAAGCCTCTGCAACTTAGTCTCCCCACAAAAATATTCTGTCTAATTGGGTCAGTCTTCTCTGGTGAGCACTAGAAGCATACATGGATTGCTCCAAACTACTTCCAAGTTCATCTCCTAAAACCTAATAGACCATTATATACATAATACAACTGACAAAAGATGCAAATACTCCACATTTAAATCAGTTCAGAAACTGCAATTAGGGCAAAATATAGCTAGCAGATTGCTGTGCAGAGCCCAGTGACTGTAACTTATAACTCTGTTCTTTTCTCAGTTACACTGGTGACTTTCTTGTTTTCTGACTGAAGTTAAAGTACCTTTAAAGTTGGACCAAGTAGCTGCCAGAATTGTCTCTCCTCATATGGGAGTGCCTGGGAGACAGGGATTTGCATGAGTCGCTCCAAACCCTTTGCGAATCTTCCAAGCTCCTCCTTTGTATGCTTTCAGGCATTTGTTGACTTATTTTATCAAGTGTTCAATGCACAACATGTGGGCTCTCCAACAAAATGCTGCAGTATGGAATGCTCATGTTCGGAATTTCAGCAAGCCCATACCCTTTCCCAGAATACTCTATTCCAGTGGTGGCGAACTGAGCATTGGACAACAGCGCACATAGAGGCCATGGACATGTTCAGAAAGGAGTAGCAGCGCCAGGCGATGATGTCACGACCCACGACTCATTAGCCGCGACTCATCCGAGATATCACATGACCAGCCAGTGTGCTGCCAAGGAGATATATATATTTGCCTGGACTGCTGTGAGTTGTTTTTTCTAAACTAAAACCTAAGTTTTCATGTTCAATTGCAGTGTTGGACTTTGTGATAAATAAGTGGGTGTTGGGTTGCAGTATGGGCACTTGGTCGCTAAAAGGTTCTCCATCACGGGTTAGGGTTAGAAAAATGAGGTGTCCTGGCATGATTTTGATGGTTGGATTGTGTTTAGAATGGGCAGAAGCAATGAGCTGTGCAAAAAAAGCTACTCAAGGAAGGCTTTTTCAAAATCGCCCGCTTTCAATTGTATTTTACGCCTATAGTAGGGTTAGGGGTGTACGCCAGGGTAGGGTTAGGCCAGTGGTGGTGCACTCATGGCGCACGTTCCACAGTGGGCATGCAGAGCCCTCTATTTTGGCATGCAAGCCAAGTCACCCCAGCATCACTGTGGCAGCCGAGCATCGGATAACAGCACACATAGGGGCCATGCGCATGCTTGGAAAGGAGTAGTACGTCACGAGCTGTGGCTCATTAGCCGCAACTTGTCCGAGATATCACATGGCCTGTCAGTATGCTGCCAATATCTGCTTGGACTGGCTGTGAGTTGTTTTTTTCTAAACTCAAATCTGTTTTCAGGTTTGATTGCAGTGTTGGCATTTTGCGATAAGTGGGTTTTGGGTTGCAGTTTGGGCACTTGGTCTTTTAAAGTTTCGCCATCACTGCCCTATTCTATCCTCCCTCCCTCAGTAGTTTTCCATTTTCCTTCCAGTCAGAATTCTATGGCTGTGGAAAACAGTCATCACTGAGCTGGCTTTGGTTTCCTTCTAAGACACAATTTTCAGTAAAGATGTTGGGGTACTTCCACAAATCTTGGGGTTCCTCAAACCGTGCTTGATAACTCTCTCTTATGGGAAGATGGTGTTGTTTTGGTTACATGAAGATCCACATTTGCAATTAGTATTAGTGAATGTCCCTTCTTGATCTGTTATGTTATTTTAGCCTTTTGACTGAATGCTGCAATTTTAGAATTTTAATTGGATGCCAATAATGGTGATGATGATAGATAGCAATAGATCCCAGATGGGTAAAAAATCAGAAGGGTTAAAAAAAGAGAGCTCCCTCCTTAGAGTATATGCCTCCTTACTTCTGGTTGTTCCAACCCTAATTAACATTAATAAGGGTTCTTCTTAATCCAGGATTTCAAACCTAGTTTAAACTTGCTGTTGGATCTTAGTCAAAGAGGAAGCCTGGTTAAACTTAGCTGTGGTTAATGCCAGTGGTGCTGATCTCCTTAAGTAGGGAAGAATTTATTCCAGGGAGAAAAACATGGTGAGGAGGAGGAGGCATGTCTTTCTGAGCCTGGCTCCCCATTCCTTAACCACTGTCTAGTCCAACCCATTGAGAAAGGGAAACATTGCATGATTTCAATAAGTGACCTACAGAGCAGAAAAGCACCAAATCAGAATGATAATAGAACTAAAAAATGCAGTAAAATAAAAGTAGGGAAGTCCATTTCTTACAGTCAGTGGTGATTTCGTAGGGGGAGTTGAGGCGTGCATCTCCACAGGGTGAAGTGCTTACGTACAGATGAAACAGAATGTTCTCTTTCAGCTTGTATCCTCCCTCTTTTAACCGCATGAAGATTGATCGCTCACCGTCTTCTCGTCGTTTGCTAGGATCACAGAGAAAGGTTGCAGGTCATTTCTTACATTCCAGATTGGAACAAGCTCTATTCTCCCTACAGGCTAGCTGATAGTCTTTCTTCTACATACCTAGCATCATTTTCCCCTTCTCGGAGATGTTTGTATCTCTCCACACTGTTATACTGAGTTTAGCACTCCATCTCAACTCATTATACAACAAACAAACCACGAGGTTAGAATCAAAATACATGATCAAAACAGGAGTCATTATTCTTAAGGTGAACCTGAAAGGCAGCCCAGAAATATTTTAAGTAAACAGACCATGCAAACAATAACCAAATCACAGTGTTGCCACTTTTATGTCCACCAAAAGTTTTAAAGGCTGCAATCCCATAGCCAGTTACCTGGGAGCAAGTCCCACTGAGTAGCTGTGCATAGAAGTACATGGTAAAAGCCCAAATGATGAAGAAGGAAAAGCTGGATGTGTTTCCACCCTTTTAAGACACCGCACATCAAAGGACTGTTTGCAGCCCATTTCACCCTCAGAAGCATAATTTGTGCAGCAGTCACATTTTTTGTAGATAAGAAGGGAGGATGCGTAGGAAGAGTACTGCTATTGATCGGTTAAAAGAAATGGTAAAAAAGCCACTGATAGGAAAGGGTGGACTTCGGGTATAATTTATTAATTCTCCCTTCTGGTTTATCTTCAAAGAGTAATACCATCTATAGGAGAACCATTAATCCATATTTGGAGAATGGAAAGGTAATAATAGCTGCATTTGGATGTCAAAATAAGCTCTAGTTGGTCATGATGGCTTTGCATGCTATCCCTTCCCTCCATTCCTCCAGGGGACGTGGCCATGAAGAGTGCATTGGACGCCCTTGTTTCCGTTTAAAAAATAATAATAATTGCAGCTTGTTGCACCATCCAAATTCAACAAACTGTGGTTAATCTTAAATATTGTTTGTTGAAACACACCAGCTTCATAACCCACACTTACCTTGTTTCAAGGAAACCATAGTTAAGATCAACCACAGATTATTGGGTTTGGATGATACAAAAAGCCACAGTTAATCAAAAGCAGAAGTGAAATGTTTTAATCACATTATAGCCATGATAGAAAGAGGAGTGGGAAGTACATGAACTGGGTGGGGGGCCAGGTTTATTTATGGCACAATAAACTATGGTTTATCATAACACCACAATGCAATCTATATACTTATTAAAATAAATAAGGGTCATAAATTAAGGCTGGAGGTAAAAATATTAAACTTGTTCTGCAAGCAAATGGGAACAAAAATGCAAATTCAAGGTTTAACTTTGCTGATAAAGTCAGTGTTACAATACATACAGCTTTTTGATTTTCATCAGTTAATCTTTACTATTTTAATACTTCATTTTTTATCTTAACTTTCTTTTACTAAGTAATTTGGGCTAGATAATAAGTTGAGTCTTTGTGTCCATCAAGTCAATTATCCTAGAATCCATTCAGCAGTTTAAGTGAACTGCAGTTTAAGTGAGATTTGAGCAAAGTAAATGGTTGGAAAATTGGTTCCCAACAAGCGGATCATAAACACATTTACTTGAAACAAGCCATGTTGATTTGTGCTGAATTTCCACAAAATGGCTTGCAGCTCATACAACGGTGAGAGCTTCAGCCACATCAATACAATTTCAATAGACATACTTGAGAATAAATAATTTGAATGTTGCAGCAGACAATTTGTTTACTGCCACAACATGAATCATATATAATCAGATTAGAATGCAACTCCCTATTTGCATGTCCAGGCAGACTCTAACAGTCCTATTAGTTACATGATGGACTAATTTGCAAATCATTCTGTATTCAGAGCCTGGACCAATGCAGGGGCATCTGGCCTCAACATTTCTTTAGTTGCGTGGGAAACTGGTTGTGTATTGGACTCCTCACAAGCCACGGCACAGCAGATCACCATCCCGGGTTTGTTTGCTTCTAATGGCTCACACAATCCACTGCACCGATACGGCAAGCTGCATCACCAGCCCAGACCCATTTCTTCAACGTGGGCTGGATGTGGCTGCAGGGAGGGTATTGCTCTCTTGCAACAGCTCCACTAGCTATCAGTCAGTGTCTGAAGTCCTGATGATGACCTATAGAGCCCTATATGGCTTGGGGCAAAGCCCCCTGAATGACTGCCTTCTCTGCTCTTGAGATCTTTGGGGGAGACCCTTCCTTCAAGACCGCTACTTTCAGAGGTATCTTTGGTGGCAAGACAAAAGGAGCTAGTCCCTGGTTATGGAGCTCCCTGGCAAAGGTTGGGTCCCCTCTCCACTACCCTTCTGCTGGCAGACAAGGACTGCTGCTTTTACTCTGTTTGTGTTGTGCTTTGATTGTTTTAAAGGTGTCTATATTTGTCTATATTGTTTTCATGCATTTTATTCACGAAACATGGTCACCCAAAGTGCCATTTTTGGCAGAAAGGCTGGGCACAAACCAAATAAAGAAGCACGTGTCTGAATGGACCTTACCCGTGTGCAAGCAGCAGTGTTTAAGGATCTCCCTGTGCAATCAGGAATCCTGCCACTGCAGGAAGAAAAAATCCAGCCTGGTTCCAGCACCCTGATACAGATTGGCTTTACCCGCATAGATCATCTGAAAGCAAGAAAGGCTCCAGCATGGAGCACAGTGTCCCCTGATGAGACCTTATCTATGCCAGTGGCGCCTTGCAGGTGACAACCACATAACAGCGGTTCTAGCTGGCAAATTGCCATTTAAATTTCTGCATGTGTCTCCTATTCAACATCATTCTGTGGGAAACAGTGGTGCTTAATGCTTGGGACTCATCAGGTTCCCCAGAGCAGACCTCTGCAGTGGGCCCTGAAGGGGCATGGTTGAACTCGCGTCTTACTTGTGGGATCCCTACAAGCAGCCTGGGAAATGGATGCTGGATCAAATAGACCTTTGCCCTGATACATCATGGCTCTTCTTCTGCCCTTAATGGGGTGTCATACCTGAGGCTGAACCTGTCTGAGGCAGCATCATTGTCCATCAGTGCTGAGTCAGCACCGACAGGGGCTGATATGGTACTTTTCTGAAATTATTTATTTATTTTAAGTTTGTATACGCTGTCCAACACTAAAGTCTCTGGACAGCTTACAAAAAACCAAAAACAAAAACAAAAAACCCAACCACATACAACAAACAACACACTGCGTCCGACCATTGATGATGAAATCAAAGATAAAACCAATTATATTCTCACACAAGAAATATGCATTTGTGAAAATATGGTTTGGGTTATATAAGGTTGCTTTTCCTCCAGAAATCCTTCTAATTCACTCAGTGCGTTCTTCCATCACTCTCCCTTCCAGACAACAGTTTTTTGCGTGAATAGCAGGCAAGGCACGAATCATTTTTCTGGGAATGTGTGCTTGCTGCAATGAGCTGTCTAATTGAACTTGCTGCAATGAGCTGCAATGGAATGAGCTGTCTAATTCTTGCAAAAAGACTTGCTCTGCCTTTCACCAGTTACAAGGTCTCTCCCAAACAAACCGACATGATCCTGATTAAGAGTTATACCCAAACACGTGAAGTAACCATAGCTTTACCGGTCCAGCATCAGAGGCAGTCTGCCTATGCACACCAGTTGCAGGGGAACATGGGTGGAAGGTGCTGCTCCTGCATGCCTATCCTGCTTGTAGGGACCCTCCTGTGAGCAGCCAGTTGGCTCCTGCGTGGCTTGGATGGACCCTGGACTTGCTGGATCCTGCACAGCTCTTCTGACCTTATGCCTGATGAAGCGGGATGCAGTCTGCTGGTGCAGACATCTCACCCCCTGCTAAATCAGTTTTAACCCAGGGCTCTTGTTGTTCCCGTTAACTCTGAATGCAGCTAAAATACGTTCCTCTCCCAGAGAATCACCAACCAGGCTTAGCAACTCTTTGCATGTGCTTTCTGCTGGCTTGTTTCTGTGCCGAAGCACCCCGTCCTTTTCCAGCACAGTCTTCACACTGTTAAAACGGTTTTGCTGTCACTCTTCCATGGTTTGCTTGTTTTGTCAGCTTTTGATGCTGTGATGCGTTTTCTGTCGAGTGAAATTTACAGCCACATTACCCGTCTTGACAGGAGTGCTGAGCCGCTAGGATCTCCTGAGGAGAGGGTGGAAGCCTGCGGTGCTCTCATTTCCCTACCACCTTCGGTGAAATCTCCCTGCTACTTTAATTGCATTATCACCCCAACACAGACCTACAGAACAATAGGATACCTGAAGATCCTGGGGCTGGGGAGCGGAACGCAATCACACCCTTTTTGAATCCAGACAAAGGCAAATCATCTGGGAAGGGGAGAGACTGCAAAAATGGGAACACAGCTATCGCCTCCTGTTATTATGCGAAATTGTATTATTGCATTATTATATTGTTTTACTAAGTATTCTAAACCGCCTTGGGAGAATAATTTATCCTAAAAGGTGGTTTAAAATCCATTACATGAAACAAGTGAACATACAAATAAATAAAAATAACACTAATAGTATCTGGAGACAGTTGCTAGGTGTGCAAACAAAGGTGGTTGCTAGGTGTGCAAACAAGGGGGGGCAGAGGTGGTTCTTCAGGAGAATTCGAAATTTAATTACCTGGGAAAAATGGAACATAGATTTTTTCCCCTATAGGTCCTTCCCTCCTAGAGCTGAAACCTGACTTGCCTTGCAACCTACAGTCAAAGACTCAGGTGTCCCACCGAGAAGCAGCCTGAGCATGCTGCTGAGGTCACTCACGTCAACTGACAGAGCTGACCTAACTTTCGTCGCCGTGTTTCATTTGGCTCACTTCTGACTCCATCAGCTCGGAGGCTCCCTTTTTTAAAGGAAGGATGTGTGGAGTCCTGGCCTTGCTATGGAAGATACCGCTGTGGCTTGGACCACTCGCTCAGGAGATGGTCAAGCCAGGTGAGGACAAGCACAAGGGGAAGCCTGCGGAGCAACGCCACAGCTCAGTGGATGGAGAATCAGCCAGCGCTGCCTTCAGCCTAGTTGGGCTTCAACCAAG